AAGTCCACTTCTTTCTTAAAAGTTCTCTTACAATCTTCGCACTCCATATATAGACTAACATATCTTACATAGACGCGGGATGCGGGTAATCGCGGTACGAATCGAGGTGGGTACTTTAGACGGGTAATCCTCCGGTTGTCGTTGCGCTGGAACCCCCATCCCCTATACTACTTATGAGGCTGCCTATTAGTTTCGTATTTTATAATTCATTTTTTTATTTTTTTAGAGTGCACGCACTAAACCCGTGAATAATATCTAGGAGTAATTAGTAGTAATTTATGCAGAATCCTTTGTTTCCTATTGTTTGATTATCACTATTTAGTACTAAAAATTAGTATTTGTTTCACGGGTTTTGTGTGAGCACTCTAATGCTGATTCATTTAATATAATAATAATAAAATTCAAATTCCAAATATGTGCAGACTAGGCGTATTTTTAAATTGCTAATATAATAATAATTATAGTAATAATTCTCTATTTTTGTTTCACTTTCTGTCATGTAGTAATTACATGATAGGGAAGATAAAATGATTGTTGTTCATACACGCCTAAAATGTTCCTAAATTAGTAGTTTCACTTGCAGGGGTTTCTGTAAGGCTCAGGGATCAAATAATATTCTGGTAAAGGAGCAAGATTCTCCTGCTTAAATTACCATTTATAGCTTAATTATACAGCTTCTCATTAATCCCATATAGGTAACTGTCCAATTATTTTCTTAATTGGGCAGGTCTTGTTGATATGGGATTAATTACACAGCTATATAATTAATAGGTAATGGAATTTCATGCTCCCCAATCAAGAAATAATTAGACTCGAAAAATTCCTCTGACTGGCAAATCGGACTCAGCCTATGGCCTCATCCAATTTTGTCAGTCCTTGGAATTTTCCTCGTCCAATTATTTCTTAATTGGACAGCATGGAGTCCTATTACATATACTAACTAGTAATTTGTAAAATATACAGCTGTACATGTAATGTTCACTCTGGGTAGCTGTAATGTTCACTCTGGCTAGTTCATGATATTGTCCTATTCTTTCAAAGCTTAATTAAACCCCTGCACTCTTGTTTCCAATATTTCATTAATTCTAATATTGATGATTCGATTTATTCGGGAATTTTCAATATGTCGATGGAAGTAGACCTGAAGTAAGAGAAAATATATATAATTACTGTTTACAGCTAGTAAATAACATCAATGCTAATTTATGATATTTTTCATCCTAATTTATACCTTAATTTTTGTACAAAAATGTGTGAAGATTAATTTATAAAGTGCTATTCAAACAGCTGAAAGAACCCCCTATATTCATTCTTTATGTTCAGTTCAAAATAACCATAAAAATTCATAAATTTATTAACTGCAGTTTTCGATATTCTGTGAATTCAGAAATTTCAACAACTTGTTCCAAAATTGGTTTTTACTGCCTTCAGTCAAGAACTTAAAAGGTATGGAATAAATATTATTGATTGATGGCAGTGAAAAAAATGTAAATTGAACAATCTTGGTTTGCAATCAATCCCAAGAGAGCACAATAACAAAAGGGATGTCCTCCATGTTGGAAGATATAACAAAAGAATTCATTGAAAAATCTTTTGTCAAATTCTTCCAACATGGCGCCTATGACGTCTATTGCAAACGAAGAATAGAAAGAATGATAATAATAATACGAGATACAGGTACATACTTGATGAAGAAAAAGGCTGTGTAGATCTACATAAACACAGTCTATATTGGTGCGTAATGCTTTCAAATAATTCTGAGTAATTTGAGTATAAATAGAAAAAATATATCTTATAATTTATACATGTATTTTATAAAATATTTTTTTTAATTTTTGAATTAAAAAATGTGGGAAACACTACTAAACTCACCATCTTGCTTCAGAATAATAAGATCCACCAAATGACTACAACCTGTTCGTTCCAAAGCCCTGACAAACTGGACAAAACCATTCTTTCTCTTCTTCAATCTATCTATCAACAAAGGGGTTGCTCTCCTATGTCCGTGATAATTTTCCTCGCTTCGAATCACTTCTTTGTCGTCAGCCGTTAAGCACGTTAGAAACGGCAACATATCAGCTGGTATAATATCTTCCACGAAGTGCCCCAGTAAATCTTCTACTAGCTCTCTTTCTTCCTTTTGCATGGTTTTTTTTTTTTTTTTCGAAAGCTGAAAATAAATAAATTCATTCAATTTTATACAAACGATTTACAAAATTATCGTGAAAAGATTTTAAAATGTTTATGGTTTTCGCGCTTCTAGATAAGGGAAATCTTACCTTTTTGCTAGAATAGGTTGATGTTCAAATGAAGTATGAAATACAAATTCGCGTATCATTTATATCGATGGAAATTTATGCAAATGAACACAAACATTTCGTCATTGTTCCGGGATTTTCCCTCCTGGGGATTCCCCGTGCGACCCTTAGCCTGATTTAACATTTTTATGAGTTTTTTTTATCATCATTTTTTTTTTAAAGTTCTTTAATGCAAAAGAAAATTTTGCATAGTCAGCTTACAACCAGAGAGAAAATTTCGAGCATAACGATAAACAAAAAGAAAGCAGTCAGAGGTCGAGCTAATCGACTTCCGGTTATAATTCCCAGAATTTCCAGCTACAGTTTGCGCATGTTTTTAACTCCTTCGCCAAAGAAAGTCATCTATTTGATCTTCAAATTGAAAGTATTAGATTTGGTTCGTATATATTGAAGATCCTGGTTCGTTTGGGATACTTTTAATAAGAAGAAAAAGGTATCCTTCGATCGCCGGTATATGTTGTGGAATACATTTCAGTCTACAACAGACAAGGTGAGAAATCGATTAACACCCACTTAATTTAAAAAATTGTACCGATATTTTCACGACATTTATCGATTTTATCACACTTCCACCTTCTATTTACTACACTAATATAACAAACTCAAACTAAGCGAAACTAATCGAAAATTGCTTCAACAAAGTGATCGAATCTTCGAGTTGTCGTCAAATAATATTTTCAAGTTCAGTCTGTGCACATTAATATTTTATCTACTATCTCCTTTTTGTAGACAAGTTACGATTTCTTATAAAAAGAATATCCATATCAATTTAATATTTTCCTACAAGCTTTCAAGATTTCCTACAGATATTCTTTCTGGCGAAATTTGGATTAAGAGAATTGGTTTCTGATTTGCATATATATTAAATTATATTTCAAGGAATCTAAAACAAACAACTTTAAGTTTGCCCTTTCTTCAAATTGTAAAATACTTATAGGTATTAATGATTAAGTTTAACAATACGTTTTTATTTGATACATTTGAAGTTGATTATTTTTTGACACTATTTTTTTTATAGTTTGAATGATGGCTTCTTCTTCACATGCTGATCAAGATCGCGAGGAGAGGTAAATTTTACATTGTCAGTTGCTCATTCTTGCATACGTTTTTTCAGCTTTAATTACCGTTTCAATGCAGTTTTGAATGTAGTGAATGAAAGAGATTAGAGCTATTAATGAAAGCAAACATATTTTGAACATATTTGTAATTGAAAGCAGCATTTTTTTAAAAATTTTGATACTCCTTCCTGCAAATTAAAAATACCAAAAATAAATCAAAAATTGCAGTAATTTATCATCGTAGCAGTTATCCCAGTGAAATTGAAATATTGCCCCATGAATAACTACACAGTCTCTGTTTTAAAGAGCACTACAAGGATTATAAGGCAATTTTCTTTATATAGCTCAAATCTCCATTCAAATATGATCTAGTGCAAATTAGAATTTTATTTTCTTAGGACAGTAAGCAATTAAAACAATTTTTCATGCTCAGATTTTTAAATTCTGAGTTATTGCTTATTTGTTGTTGAGCTTGTGGGACATAGCAATAGCAAAGTAAGGGGAGTCGGAACCAAGAAGAAATCTGCCTTCACATCGTTGAAGGGTGGTTTGGACAATTTTTATTTTCTTGTCTTCTGATTCCAAACTTCAATTTTCCTTAAAAATAACAGAACTTTCTTTCTTTTCAGAGACAATTTTTTTCGTTTCACATTGCTTTTGTTTCGTCTTGGCAATTCTAAGCTCAGAGAGTGTTTAAAGTCACGATGGCCAACAGTACACCAAAATGCAAATGGTACCATGCCTACACATCCTTGGAATGACAAAGCATCTGATGCTGCTACACTGAAAACAATCCTAAAACTAAGATTCCAGTTTACAAAACAGGAAAAGCAATTTGATTCTGGCAAAACAAATGAATGGGATTTTTCACTTTTAAGTTTGGTATTGCTATCTACACCCTATGGTGCTGTTTTAAGCCCTGCAGAAACTAAGACAGTGAAAGATATGAAAGAGATTCGTAACACACTAATATGCCATGCATCAGATGCAAGGATATCAATTGCAAAATTTAACACAGAATGGCCAAAAGCTTGCAAAGCACTGAAAAGTTTCAATGCCACCCAAGATGAATTTGATGCTGTAGAAAAAGGTACTGTTGTCAATGCTGTTACAGAGTGAAATTTATACTTATGAAATTAAAGGAAGCATGGATAATATAGCAATGAGAATGCTTTAATCTCACCACTGTGACCGGAGTTCAATTTCCATTAGGTGACATGAATTGAGTAAGGATTTTTCTGCAGGTAATAAATTTATCCTGTCAAGCTCATGTAAGTTCAAGATTAAAAATTGAAATAAAATTCGCTTTTTTGGAAGCAGAAAACTTCATTCCAGTTTATAAAATGTATAATTCATTTCATCAATTATTTGTTGACTTTAAATGAAGATAATATTTTCTTCTTTTTTCAGATATAACAAAACCAGTTGACACGTTGTATGCTATCCTGAAAGAGTGCTGTAAATTGGAAGATGAAATACTTAAAGCTGTTACTGATTGTATGTTCTAATTAAACCAGTTAGATGTTAGGACACATGTTGCTAAAACATTCACTTTACACCATAGTTAGTTTGGGTTGCTTGTTCAATTCCTCAAGATGCTAATGTGAAATTTAATTTCATATTTGTTGTTCTCTCCCTTGTGAAGGGATTATCTCTGCATTCTCAGGTTTTTCTCCATCTTAAAAAACCAATGCATTAGTTGAGAGTGGTACATAGAATATTGAATGTAGTGTGTGTGTTTGTACATGGCCATAAACAACGGGGTGCATGTGTACCCCCCCCCCCCCCTTCGCAAAAGCTGAAAGTCTACTGACTCGTCCATTTTGTTTCCCTTTTTCTATCTGTAAATTGTAGCATAATGATTATCCCTCACCCTTATAATTATAGGTTGGTTATTGGATCAATCATTCATCTTTTTTTTGGGAGGGGGGGGGGGCAGGGGGATTCTGCAAATCCTTTGAATGTTATACCACTTCTCAAGATAGCCGTTAGTTTAGACATATTAGTACCATTTTCATTCCCTGTGCACCCACCCTGCAAGAACCCTGGTTACAGCCCTGCATAGTGAGTGAAAGTGTGTCAAATTGGAAACCATTGATACTTACTGAATTTGTTCATTATGAAAAGTATCATTTATTTTTAATATAACTAAGGTGATATTTTATTATCAAATTTTATGTCTATAGCGGAAAAAAATGCTAAAGATCGACACGAGGAAATTATGGGTGGACAAGAGAAAATCATAGGGGGAATATCAACATTAACAAAAAAAGGTAGGGAAACGAAAATGTTAAAACTTTATTTACGGAATGAAAGAAATATGTAGTACTTTTGTGTATAGTTTTTCCTAATTCCATTATCAAGCCTCGCCCCTGTCATTGTCATCACCATTATTACCATCACCATTATCATCACCATTATCACCACTACCATTATCATCATCATTATCATCATCATCATTGTCACAACCATTACCACCATCATCATCATTATCATCACCACCACCATCGTAATCATCATCATCAGCATCCTTACACCATTATAATCATCATCATCATCATCACCAGCATCATCACCATCATCACCAGTGTTATCACCATCATCATCATCATCATCATCATTATCACCATCATCATCATCATCGCCAGCGTTATCACCATCATCATCATCACCATCATCACCAGCGTTATCACCATCATCATCGTCATCATAATCTCATCATCACCACCATCATCACCACCATCATCACCATCATCATCACCATCATCACCAGCATTATCACCATCATCATTATCATCATTACCATCATCACCATCATCATCATCACTATCATAAATAAACTCATGAATCTGATTGAAAGTCCAGGGTGGAAGTACAGGGCTCCGATCTTCATTTTTACCATAGCAAATGATTGTCTTTATATCAAGCATATCCCTTCTCCCACCTTCTGTAACGGCACTTTGAAGCTGCTTACTTTCGTGAAAATAAAATAATCTATTCTTATCATATACTTTTTCCTTCATTTAGTTGAATCCTTAAGCACAGGAAGAAAGGTTGACGAACCGAAAGCTTCCAAGATCAGGGTATGGTTTTATTGTCGTTGTTTTTACTACTTTGCTTAATTCTTGGAGTGAACCACGTCTCAAAATCCCTTGAGATATAAATAACAATGAAACAGCCCCTATGTTGGTTGATCTAAGTGAAGCTAATGAAGAATGCTTTGTTATCGTCAACCAACATAGTGGCATAGTGGTCATGACGTCAGGGGTGGTAAAAGGATTGACTAGTGACCTCCCTTTTGCTTAAATATCATAGTATATCGTTAGTAACAGTCCACCCCCCCCCCCCCTTCCTCGAATTCCTGGTGAAACTTTTATAATGGACACCTTTTTCGGTTTTTATTCATTTTTAGCGTCTACAGATGAGCGAAGATCACCAGCGATTTCTTCAAGAAAACATTCGTCATTTTAAAAACGATTTCAATGCTACTGAGCTGTTAGACAAACTGCCTTGTTTGACTGATGAGCAGAAAAAAGATATAGCATACAATGAAAATAACTACCTTCCTTCACAAGCGGTAGAAACCCTAGTGGAACACTTAAAAGAACACGTCGAAGGTTTCTCTCAGTTCATAAGTGCCCTACGCAAAGCAGGCCTCGGTAGCGTAGCGGTACTACTACATGGCGATTCTGGTGAGTTTTAACCAAAACTGTGGAGAAACATCAAGCAATGCATTTTACTTTCTTGTTCAATGGATTCCTTTATCTTGTGTGTAATTTTTTTCCCCATTCCCGACCACGTTTCATTTCCTAGGGTATCAATGACACGTGGTCTGAAATGGGGAAACATAACAACCAAGGTAAACAGATCTATTTCGTTTTGCAGCCATAAAGTGACCCTCCTTTTTCTCTCCCTCAGGCATTGAGGATGACAAAGGGGACAATCCGGAAGATTTGGAAGAATCTAGTTATATTTTTTACGAGGAAGCGAGAGTTGCTGGCAAGTAAAATATTACGTCATGCTGCATGTAAAAGCTTAGATAAGCTACGAAAAAGTCTTGATGAACTTTGCTTATCTTTATGAGCAAACGGTCAAGAAATTTTAAGGAAGGATATTTTCCGCAAATGAGCTAGCGATCAATCATCTCAGAAAAGTCAGGACAGTTTCCTAATTTGTCTTGGCGTTGATAGATGTTATTCTCTTCCTTTTTATTCAATCTATTGCCCTTATAATGTCTTTTTTTCACAGTAATGATAAAAGGGTAAATTTTACACCGTGAAAAGATGAAAAAACTGCTGACGTTTCGGACGCTAGTCCTTCGTCGGTGTTCTCAGTATTTAAACACTCCTTTCTACCACCTCTTTCTATTTTACTCCGACGAAGGACTAGCGTCCGAAACGTCAGCAGTTTTTTCATCTTTTCTCGGTGTAAAATTTACCCTTTTATCATTACTGTTTCATTAGACTAGTTTTTCACACTAGTTTTTAGCTAGTCATCTCTTCTTTTTTTTTTCTTTTTTTTTTTTACAGATATTCGCGGTACAGTACACATTTTTAGGCGCAAGGACGGAGGCGACCGAAAAGAGGATGAAAGACAGCCGCTTTTGGAAAAGAAAATCGCCACATTATTCGAAAATGGCCGTTCTTCTGAATTCAGGGAGTTGAAAAGCATTTTTGAAGAGGTAATAGCTTAATAATTTTAGTTTCAAGACTTGATATTCTCAACTCTTGAACAAGTATAGCCCACCTCAAAGTAAAAGAATTTCAGAACGCATCTGAGCTTTGAGATATGTGAATGGTACATGTGATTTCATAGAAACTGCTTTTGCCAAACTTAGAGTGTGAAATCAAGTAACGACGCTCAGCGTTCGTGTTTTAGGAACTATTGCCAAAGGGAGTCTACTTTGCCCACATCAAGATGTCCAATAATTGCCGTGGAGGCGTACACCTCATTTTTCGATTTGCGATGAAGGTTGAACATCTAGACGAAATATGGAATATTTACGAAGAGAAAAAGTTGGAGACGTTTTTGAAAGAGCACCTCCTACCTAAAGCCCTTGGAGAAAGACAATGCACAGAGAATGAAGAGGATTTGTATTTACAAGTAGTCATCGAAGAGAAGGATTATAAGGCAATCAAGCGCAAATTTAATGAAGGTACTTCGATTTGTAAAATCTGAAAAGTATGACCCAATTCTAATTACAGAAGTATTGATAATGTGACTTATCTCCAGGGTAAACATGGACCTCTGACAATATACCTAGCTTGCCTTTTGTATGGCTTTCCTATCTAGAAATATAAATTTATAAGAAGTAACCTACGAAGGTGTAAACTCCAAGATGTTTTTCTTTTTCCTTTTTCAGAAAGTGAAACCTTAGAAGGGACTGCGACGTCTACTGAAGCCGGTAACACACTCATCTGGGATAGCAAAGTGTCGAAAACAAACGAACGGTTATAATAGCCCACTTCCGAGATATGCTTCGCTTGTCACGCACAAAGGTTTCAGTATGAGGCTACGTGCTAAATGCTCAGTCATTCGTTACAGGCGGTAAGAATGAATTTAATTTAGCACGTAGCCTCATACTGAAACCTTTGTGCGTGACAAGCGAAGCATATCTCGGAAGTGGGCTATTGGCGCCACTTTCTACGTAATTCACGGAATTACTCATTTTTACTTTCCACTAGCAAATAGATAAGCGATACAATATGATTGGAATGCGTTACATCACTTTTCCGTGCTCGATTCTTGGTAGAAAAACGCGACGTTGACAGCAACATTAGATAACGTTCTGCTTTCGTGAATACACAGGTTGTTTTGACCATTCTATTTTGAAATTAATGGACTATATGATGCAATACCACAAAAATATCTAATTAGTTCTGTTAACTATAATTGTGTTTTTGTAGACGTTGTCGTTGATGAGGCGATGGAAACCGAAGCCACAAAAGTATCCTTGCCTACAAGAATTCCTCGAAGAAAAGGTAGATAAGATCCTTAAAGTTTATTATCCTTCCACGTGCATATTTCATAAGAGAAAATATGGAAGAAGGAAAATAACTTTGTTTTTTATGAAGACTACATGCATGGGAGGCAAGGACTGGAGTACTTTTCCTTCCTTGCTTCCTTCCTTGCTTCCTTGCCTGCTTCCTTCCTTGCCTGCTTCCTTCCTTGCCTGCTTCCTTCCTTGCTACTTTGCTTGCTTTCTTGCCTGCAACCTTGCTTCCTTGCTTCCTTCCTTGCTTCCTTCCTTGCTTCCTTCCTTGCTTCCTTCCTTGCTTCCTCTCATTCTTCCTTTCTTATCCATTACTTGGTCACAAATAAGGCAATATCAGAGGAGTATTTTATGGTACATCAACTAACCATCAATTTTGTGTCGATTCGAATTTGACCAGTACTAGTATATCTGGATGATGGCACCTACAATCTCAGCCGTGAACTCAAACTTCGTGAGTACCAGAAAGAGCTTGCAGCACCTGCCCTGGAAGGCAAGAACACCATCATCTGTGCACCAACCAACAGTGGCAAGACCTTTGTTGCTATGGAGATTGCTAAAAGACACCTTGATGCTTATAAAGATAACAAGAAAGGTAGTTGAAGAATGAAAGAATGTGCATGATCCGGTTGTATCCGGCGTTTGTGTAGTAAATGATTTTTAATATCCTAGCCACTGTGTTTCTTAATTTCAGACCCATTTCTCAGGGTTAGCCTCATTTGATCAGTGTCAAAATGTTTACAAATACCATATTTTATAATCCCCTCTATGAACTATGCAAATAACAGCGGCCCGCTGTAAAGTAAAGAATGCACAAAATCGACAATACAAACACTTTGAAATAGACCTCTTTACCTTGGGCGTAATGTTTTCCCATTTCAGGGCACGTGTCATTCCCTAGAGTATAATTTTTTTTTCGAATTGAATCCATATTCATAAAGAAAAATAAAGAAATGATGCTCAAGGGAATACACGTGGTCTGTATAGGGAAAACACTACTACCAAGGTAAAGAGGTCTATTCCTCGGACCTTCACTGGAACACATTGAATATTCTGCGCAAAATCGACGCTAGCCCTAAACAAAAGAGAAATGGAAACCTCAAGCATTAGAAAGTGTTAGAGTTGTGAAATGATTTTTTTCTCTTGCTTATCATAAATAGAAAATGAGGGCAAAGAACCCAAGGTTGTCTTCATTGTTGACAAACAAAACTTGGTACTTCAACAAAAAGGACGTTTCGAGGAATACCTAACTAACTACAACACATCGGACATCACCGGCGCCAGTTCAGAGACCCAGTATGTCCCTCTTGAGATACTGCTACAAGAAAACGACATAGTAGTGTTAACTGCACAGATTCTGGTGAACGCCATAAAAGAGAAGAAAGTCAGTATCAGTGATGTAACGCTTCTTGTCTTTGATGAATGTCACCATGCCAACAAGGAGCATGCCTACAACAAAGTTATGCAAGCATATCTGGATATTAAAATAAATGGTTCGAGTGAGCCTAAGAAACTACCTCAGGTAATTCTAACTCTTCGATCCTTTTGTTTTCCTTTGTTTTATGGCTTGCTTTTTTCTTATTGGTTTGTTTTCTCTMTCCTCTACTATRTAAACATCTCTCKCACTCTTACTTTCTATTGACTCCGACGAAGGACTAACGTCCGAAACGTCAGTTCCTATTTTCACTAGGGTGTAAAACTTATCAATGTACGATAACTAATTCTAACTTTAGTTATTTGCTTTTAGTATAATGTTGGACTTGACTGAATAGTGCACTGTGATTGGTCGAGCGACCAGTGATTGTGAGACGATAACCACTGCTCGAGCAATGTTCATGAGTTAATGAATTAAAACGTTCATGAAGGAAGTAATAACAAAACGTTTTTTTATCCTGAATTTCATTTCAAATATCTGGTATTCATTGCAGGTCATTGGTCTTACCGCTTCCCTCGGTGTTGGACAAGCAAGCAAAGAAGAAAAGGCAAAGGAGCATGTCCTTTCTATGTGCGCAAACTTGGACGCCTCCGACATTAGTACCGTCCGCAAATGCGAAGAAGAACTCGAGAAAGCTACTGGTGGTAACGTGCTTGAGTGTAAGAGTGTACAAGTGAGCAGGCAATCTGACATCTTTGAGCAAGAGATAAATAAGGTATTACACATACCAATTTATTTAATCCTTGATAGTGGGAGGAAAAGGCTTGAAATTGTGGATGCCACTCTTATCTTATTGTGGTTGTTTAGAACATGGAAAAGATCGAAAGCTTCATAGGAAAGCCTCCTCAAACGACGAACCGAGAGGTTGAGGGTTATCGTCAGTGGATTGAGTTACTTGAAAGTGATGCTAACAAAATGGAAAACAGCGATCATTTTATATACGCACAGCGACTAAGATGGTATATATATTTTTTATTTTAACTAGTGATCGTAGTGGTGGTCAAGGCGGTGGTGGTCATGGCGGATGATGATCATGGTGGTGGTGGTCATGTTGGTGGTGGTCATGGCAGTGGTGGTCAAGGCGGTGGTGGTCATGACGGGTGGTGGTCATGGCGGTGGTGGTCAAGGCGGTGGTGGTCATGGCGGTGGTGGTCATGGCGGTGGTGGTCATGGCAGTGGTGGTCAAGGCGGTGGTGGTCATGGCGGTGGTGGTCAAGGCGGTGGTGGTCAT